TCTCAGAGTATATGTAGCTCCTGACTCCTTTTCTGAGCTTATCTCAATAGTTCAGCCCCTGCTGTTCCCCTGTGATAGTGAACACAAGGTCTTGCCTGTCTCAGGGCCTTTGCATCTGCTCTTCTCTCTTCCTCCCGAATCCTCTGATTTCTCACTTCTGAATCCTCTGCAAAGATCAAAGTTCAGCCAAACATCATCTCCAGTGTTCTCTGGCTACCAGTCATTGCCCTCTATCCTACTCATCTCTGTCACACTGCCATGTTTAGGCCTGTTATAATCTTGCTACTCCAAGTGTGATGCAGGAACCAGCAGCACCAGCATGACTACCTCCAGCTGGACAGAAATACAGAATCCCAGACCTCACCCCAGACCTACAAAGCCAGAATCTCCATTTTGATAAGATCCCTGGTAGGTTTATATAAACATGAAAGTTGGAAGCACTGATCAGGCTGCACTGACTGCCTTAACTGCCCTGTACATTGTCTGTGTCAACCCACAGTACGACGAGCTCCGTGAGGCAGGGACTCTGTCCATTTCCAGCACACTACTTGGCAGGTGGCTGGCGCTCAATACATATTTGATGAATGAAAGATTCAATCTAACTTTCTCAATTAGTCCATGAAGAAAGAGGCTCAGAGAAGTATTTGGAAGTCACACAGGTTCTTGTTAACAAATCCAGGGCAAAACCAATCAAAAAGTATCTTCCCGCCTGTGAAAAGAGAGAGAGAGTGTGTGTGTGTGTGTGTGTGTGTGTGTGTATAACACAGCATAACCTATAACTTCCTCTGCTATGCGGCCTGTATAGGCTTCTGGTATTGATGACAATTAGTTCTTCGTATTGTACTCTGTCATTTACAATCTAGTCTCACATACACTGACCTATGTGGAATCTTGCCCAGAATTAATGTCTTTATGTTTTCTTTCATTAAAAACAGAGGAAATGGTAAGCATAGACAACAAATTGTGGAATTTCTTTATTAATGGATTGAAAGATCACTGAAAAAGCTAAAACAAAGAAGAGAAAGTAAAAGTTTTCATAAGATTAGCTGTCAAGGAATCAATTCAGTGTAGGGGACAACTCTTTGGCCAGATGAGAATCAGCTGGAAGTGAGTAGTTGACAGTATTCTGAGGGCGTCAGAGGCAACCCAGGAGGCAAAGGTGAATTTACAAAAGTGATTCCTAATTTATTTTAATTATTGTTATTGGATTTACATTTAGTTCAATGGACAATTCTTCCTAATTAAAAGATCTCTTTCTATGGTTGAATTTTGCTTGTCACTCACAGGTTACAGTTTAGCTATTTCTGGCTCTTAATTGGCCTGTCACAAATGAACTATATCTTGAATTTGGTGCCCTCTGATCCTGACATCTGCTTGATTTGAAATATATATTCTCTGGAGCCCGATGTGTTCATCCCAAACAGTCTGAATCTTTCCTCCCACTAGGGTATGTATTTAAATCATTGGTTGTAGACAAGAAAGGGACCTAAAACAACCCAGCCCAGCCTGCCCCTAATATAGGAGCCCCATATAGTGTCTGGGCATCTGATCATCCATGTATTCTTTTTTATTATAATAAAATATAAATAACATGAAATTGACCATTAATATGTAAAACAAGCATTTTAAGTATATACTTCAGTGATATTAAGTACATCTGTAAAAGTGTGAAACTGTTGATACAACTGCCTATTTCCTGCATTCTTCCATCATCGCAAACAGAAACTCTATACGTATTAAATAATACTTCTCCATTCCCCCTCAATTCTGGGTTATGAGGTTCTACCTCTTTCCCTGTAAGAATTTGCCTATTCTGGATTTCCATATAATTGGAATCATATATTTATCTTTTTGTGCCTAGTGTATTTCATTTAGCAAAACATTTTCAGGGTACACTATCCTGCAACATGTGTCAGACCTTCATTCCTTTTTATGGCAAGAAAATATTCCATAGTATGTATATACAACATTCTGTTTATTTATCTGTTCATGGACAATTGGGTAATTTCCACCTTTGAGCTCTTATGACTGATCCCACTGTGAACATTGGTATGCAAGTGTCCATTTGTATCTCTGTTTTCAAGTATTTGAGATACACTTTTTACCTTTTGAGAAACCACAAAACACTTTCCAGAGTGGCTGTACCCTTTTACATTCCCACCAGCATTGTACATGGGTTCCAATTTTCCTACATTCATGCCAACTTTGTTATATTTTTATTTATTTATGTATCTTTCTATTTATTTTTTTATTTAATGGTTGTCCTCTTGCACATGAAGTTGTATCTCAGTGGGCCCAGGTGTTCTTCAATTCTTTCTGTACTGGGGAGCTTAATATAACACCAGGAAGCCATTGCAGATCATTTTTAGTTGCTAGGTGATTGTTTTCATCCACCACTAAATCTGTCCGCTATCTACTGAGAGCACTCAGCCTTGGTTGCACATCAGAATCACTGAGTGCTTAAAAAAAATCCAATATTCAGGCTGCAAGCCACACCAGTTAAATCAGTGTCTTTGTGAGTGAGGCCCCAGAATCAGCATTTAAAAAATCTCCTTGGAGACTTTGCAGCTAGGGTTGGAAACCTCTGCTTAAAGCCCACTCACTGATCCCTCCTAATCACAACCCAGGCATTATAAGCTGTGACATCTACCACTGATCCCTCTCTGACAACCCCTATGCAATAGCCAGCCTTCACGGGCAGTCCTGACCTCCTCACCCTTCCAGATTTTCTCCCTAAGACTGCATGTACCAGTTGGTATTTCTCATATTTTCATGTGTATCTGTTTATCATCTGCCTTCTGAGTTGCTTCTTGCTGTTTCCCTGGGTCATATGATGCCCACCATGGAGCAGGTGCTCAAAAAATAATGTTGAATGAGTGAGTCTGTAAACCTAATTTTTTTTTCAAATGACAGTCCTTCAGGTAGTTTAAAAAAACAGCTTTGTCTTATCCCTGGGACTTCTCTTTACTAGATAAAATCTCCCATATACTTTCAAGCAATTTTCAAAAGTGTTGAAAAAACAAACCTCACCATTACGAACATAATCTGTCTTTCACTCAATCAGCAAATAATAGAGTATTTATTGTGTACTACATATACCTATGTGCTACTAACACCATAGACTAGATATTGTGCCAGGCACTGGAAGAGTGAAAAAGATAACCAAAGTCTGGGTTGGGGTGTACCTCAGTAGTAGAGCCCTTCCCTAGCACACACAAGATCCCTGGGTTCAATCCACAGCACCAAAAAATAAAAGTAACCAAAGTCAATATGTGGGGGTGATAAACAGAAATAATCAATAAAAAAAGTCATTTCAATAACAACAAATGGTATAAAGAAATGAAAAATGTTTGTTGGCAGTAGCACATTAAATGTGAGTTGAATTTGATATGAGATCTGAATGACAAGGAGTAGTCAGTCAATTAAGGAGCACTTGAGAAAAGAAATACATCAAATACAGGGACCTAATGGTGGGGGGCAATGGTTAGAGGGACTGTGAGTCAGAGCCTGTAAGCAGCACAAGGAAAAGAACCACCATCACCTCTTTTGTTGGATACTTCACCTTACTTGATATGGCCTAAAATCAAATAAGTTTTTCCATGGCCACATTACCCTTTTTATGTCTTTTTCCACATTTTATTAAATCTTCCCTGTCCAATATTTGTACTGTTGATAGTTGGCACTTAAATGTGGAAGGGTGATTTAGGTGAATATACCTTTTCTTTTCATCTGTATCCCAGCCCTAGATATTTAAATTAATCAATCTGTAGAAACCCTTCTTAGCAAATTGGAGGAACTTTCTCATTCTCCAACCACAGTAAGGCTGGTTTCTCATCCCATTTGGCACTTTGTCTCCTGTGCCTGCCTAAAGGAAGAAGTTGAACCAAAGCCAGGGCCAGACTTGACAGACTGCTGCCCTTGAGGGTCGGTGCCTACCTTGATTTATCAGCCAAAGGAGTTCAGTAAGAACAGATAATCCTTCATGTCTGGACCTTGCGTTCCCAGTGGTGGGCTCCCAGGACGAGCAGCCTCTCCCAGCCTCTAATGTGTTCTGACAGCTCAGATCCCCTAATTTCCCCCACATTTCCCAAATGTGGGGTTTGGGTTCAGGAGTTTTAAGATCCTTTGAAGCTTCATTAAAACAAACATTTTATTAACACAATTAAAATAAAACTTTTTCCTGTAACTTTGGAATAACCTGCAGATATTATACTTTCGTTAATAGAGGTCACTCACTTCAAGTTAATAAAGCAAGTTTTTTACTTAGACCGGGAAGGAAGAATTTGTAAATTAAATCAGATGCTGAAATTGATGAGAAAATAAATTTGAACTGTAAAAAAGTGACATCTGCTAGGTACCAAGAGAAGTGGAGTTGAGGGCAGCTGCAGAAGCCCCTCAGCTCATTGGTTTGCTACTGTCTGTCCTCTGCACCTCAAAGAATCTGATCTCCTCTCCTTGGGGCAGCCCACCTATGAACAGTGGCTTCTGTGTGGGCTGGACTCTGGTACTGAAAACAGAGTGACCCTTGTATGCATGCAGACCCTGGGTCCAGGTACAGTCATTCATTCATCCAGCGCCATCCTTCCTTCATCTGACAAAAGTGAATGACACATTAACTATACAGCAGTGAATACAACAGCTGAGGTCTTGACTTGTGCAGCTTATAATATAGTTGGATTAGACATGTGAAACAGTAATCATCCAAATACATTTCTGAATACCTGCTGAGGTGTAGTCTCTGAAGGGAAACCATGAATTATTATCTGATGGAGAATAGCTGTGCAACCATTGGCTAGTGTGTTCACCTCTTTGGCCTCATCTCCTCATTATATAGAAGTTAGCCAGGATGGCCTGTCCACTGATGGGTTCAGACCCTGGCATGTATTCAGTGCATGATAAATGTCTGCTGCAGCTGCTTCCTGAAGGTCAATGAGGAAAAGACAAGTTTTCTTTCCCATGTCTCAGTCCCCAGCAATTCTTTGTGTTTTTGTGTCTTCCAGTTCCAAGGAGGGCTTTGGTTCATTGGAGAAGGTCTTGCTGCTCACGTTTCTCTCGGCAGTCATCCTGATGGCCATCCTGGGCAACCTGCTGGTGATGGTGGCTGTGTGCAGGGACAGGCAGCTCCGGTAAGCCACTCCAGGGGACCTCCTGGGGAAACATGAGTGGAGTTCTGGAATCTCCCTGGAGAGCTGGGTCTCAACATTTTCATTGTAATTATGAAGGAAAAAGTTCACGTGAATAGGGAAGAGGGATGACACACAATCCTACAACTCTAATATCTCCAGTATAAGCACTGTGGTGTACCATCTGTTTCCCTGTCATGGCTTTTAGTAGTGGTGATCACTGTATACATAATTGTGGAGAGCACATTGAATCTAAGCCCCTGACTTTACCAATGGTTCTGGGAAGAGGCAGTTGTCTAATGATGGTTCTAGATTTAAACATGGATCTTCTTATGTTTTTACTTCATTATTACCACCCCTGCCTACAATTAGAATCACCTAAAACACTTTTTTTTTAAATGTTACTATGTGGTGTAATTATGTCCCATGCAATATTTTGGACATACTTATAAATATATTATTAAGATCCACATTGAACTGGGGTTTTTATCTGAAAATCTTTGTGAGGAGGGAGATAATAAGCAACCAAGGTCTATGAACTAATGGAACTGGGATGTAGCCAGGAGCACCAAGATGTATTGAAATGCACTGTGTAGTTCTTGTGTGCAATTTGAAGTCAGAGCCACTGAGTCACCAAAGGGGACACATGACACAGTTCCTTTCCGAGCAAGGCCAGCACTGATCAATAATGATGCGAATGAGGTGTAAAAACACAATCCTGACTGGTGGTACAAATGTGAGGCACACAAGAGTCAGTCTCAGGGTGGAAAATGGTCGAATTTGCTGTTTGTAAGGGGAACACATTTCGAGGGTCCCTGAGAATGCCCTGCTCGGGGCTAAAGTGAGGATGAGATGTAACTGGGCCAGTAATTGGAGAGAGGGAACCCATGCGAAGACCCTTGGAAGGGAGGATGCAAAGAGTGACCAGAAGGAAGAGGGGGAAAAAAAGGGCTTTTGACCTGAGATGGGTCTGAAGAAGTCAGAGAGGCCGGACCACTCAGGAACTTCTCAGCGTATTACAGAAGAGCAGATGAGCACACAGAATCTCAGAATATGTTAAATGTGTGACTTCTTTCCTTTTCCTCCCTCCTCTCTCTCTCTCTCTCTCTCTCTCTCTCTCTCTCTCTCTCTCTTGTCTCCCTTATACTTTTTCACTCACAGGAAAATAAAAACCAATTATTTCATCGTATCTCTTGCCTTTGCGGATCTTCTGGTTTCGGTGCTGGTGATGCCCTTCGGTGCCATTGAGCTGGTTCAAGACATCTGGATTTATGGAGAGATGTTTTGTCTTGTGCGGACATCCCTAGATGTCCTGCTCACAACGGCATCAATCTTTCACCTGTGCTGCATTTCCCTGGATAGGTAAGGGGAGAGCAGGGTGTCTCGTGGAGCTTGGGTATGGAGGAAGTGACCTTGTGTATACTGGACAATGTCTTTTCTTCTTCTCTAACTTATTGCAAGAAATGAATCTCAGAAAGGCAAATTTGGTTATTCAATTATTCATTCAATTTACAGAGGACCCCATTTTAGACAGGCAGTTTCTAAGGTTCCGCAGATCTAGATGTTAGAAAGACCTAGAACCTGCTGCAGAGCACTTACCAGATATCTAGATAGCAAAAGATACTAGCAGTCATGTTTACCCTATAGCTCTAAATTCTGTACTTATGGCATGAACAAAATTCTAAGGGAACCAATTGACAAGAATTAAGGCATCTTAATGAAGATCACCTTTAAGGAGTGAGGGGTAGGGTTTTGCCTTAGGTATGTATGTCAAGATGTGGTTGGACATTTTTCATGGACTCAGCATCATGAACATGTGCTTGCTTATCCTCCCCAGAGTGGCCACTGCACACAACTGTAAAAGATTTCCCATTGTCCCTATCAGTGGCGTTTGATGGAGTAATTATTATTGCATGCCAAATGGTTTGGAGGACATTGATTCAAGGAAGCATTTTCCTGATAGATGAAAAAAAATAACTCAGAGTCATCTACCCCTGCTGGGAGGTTATGCAGTATATTATTAGCATGCAGTGTATTATGTAATGCATAATCAAAATAAAATGAAAAAAGAAAAAAAATAATTAATACATCTGCCTGATGGGCAGCTGAACCAGTTCCAAATGATAGTGCCTTATATTTGAACTTGACCATTCCCTAAACTACATCTATGTAGTAATATCTAGGCATGTGCATGTGATTTTGGAGTTTCATTACCAGAAAACTAAAGATGATAATAAAATTTCCAATAATTACCTGTTTTGGGTATCCAGGTCTAGAATTTCATTTCTATTGCATAATTTTGTTCTTTTTCTTCATATTTGACTTCAGGAGGTGTAATGAGTTGCATCTCTGCCTCATTTGTTGGAGATTTTGTATATTTATCACTTGTATCAGCACTTTTTGTTTTCCAATTCCTACTTATTTTTATTGAATAATAAAGGAAGAATGCAATTTAAAGGTCAGATGATTCCAGGAACATATGTTTCTAGTCATAGCTAAGGATGTAGTTTCCAAAAGAAAGTGTGGGGTGCAGATTCCACGCATTCCCCATCTTGGGATAGATCACTGTTTCTTTATTTGAAGACTAGGAAAAGCTGTTGGCCAAAATTATGGATTGTGGAATACCTAAAATATTTACCTTAAAACAGTAAAATTATAACCTTCCCAGAGAATTATACTGGGAGAGGGGGTGTTGATAGGGACTGAAATCAGTACAGAGAACAGCAGATTCATCTGGTCTCAGGACATCTGCTCATTGATTGGAATGGGAAGCATACTGGCCTGCTCTGTTTAAATTGCTCACTTTTCTTCTGCTAAGAACATATAGTTGAAGGTGCCTAAGTTACATGCTTGTATAATGAAACTACACTGTATGGCTAGAAATAAAGACAATGGTAAAATCAAACTGCCAGATCCCTCACCTGTCATAGTTTGACACCGTGTTTATTTGTTTTTACAACAGTTCAACTTTAGACAGTGAAAGACTTTTTAAAAGCAGTTGGCATATACCACATGAAAGTTTATAATATAGGAAATAAAATGTGAGAAATAAAAAATGCATGGATATCTTGAAGATAACCTGCATGTATGATTGTTGCTGAAATGAACAGTGAGACTGAAAGTATCAGAGGAACGTAGAAAGACAAGGCTGGGGGTACAGGATGGCTAGTGATCACTTTGAGGATTGGGAAAAATCAAGGGTAAGAAAATAAGCCATGGAGGAAGAAATGGGGGAAGTATGGGACCACCTGGAGCAGAGTGTTCACTCCAGTAGGATATTAATAACGGTAAGATGATCCCTCCCCTCAAAGAACTTGCATTTGAAATGAGATATTGGCAAATAGCCAGTAATTATGTAAATGTTTACTTAGATATTTGACAAATGCAATTGAACAGAGTGATGGGCACATTCTCTTTGTGAGCACTGCTGCAAAAATTCCATTTCTTTCTCTGATAGTGGACATTGAACACTCCAGTACCATAAGTGAGATGGGGTCATATAGCTCTGTTTTGTTTTGCTTTTCTTTGGGAGCCTGGGAAACTTGTCATTTGTTTCCAGTGCTCCCTGACCCAAGATTGATACTCTTATCGGGCTGGAGGGTTTATCCTAAATATTGCAAGGCAGTGTTTTAACTTGGAAGAGTATGGTTTTATCATCCAGTTCTTGCTGTGTGCCTCCTTGTCTGGTATCTGAGCAGGGCCTGGCTGTGGCAAAGAACACAAAGCAAGTGTCTCATTGAGGTGCGATGTCCTCGCTAGCCATGAGATTCTTGGCAAGACATCCTGTCTTCTGGGGTGACTGATGCAGGGTAGTACCTTTGGATCGAGAACACTCACTTTGGGTTCCTAATTCCATCCAAATGAGTCTCCTGGATCAAAGCAGAATGCAGAACTCTTTCAATATGACACAATGCCTTTCTCCAACTACTGTTCTCAGTCCCTTGTTCTTCCTTGGCACGTTGAGAATTGAATCCTTTTAATGAAAGCTTATTGCCTCCTTAAAAATTATTTTCAAACCACAACTAAAATTAATGCTTCTACAGTATGGATCATGAGAGGTCAAAAACGACATTAAAAACTTTATAGTGTAGTTGACGTTTTGAAATCTGAAGTTCTGTGGTTAATGAAAAAACAGCCAAGTAGCTTTACTAGAACATTGCTTTAAAAGTGGAATATTGGGGGTGGGGTTGTGGCTCAGCAGTAGAGTGCTCACCTAGCATGGGCAACGCCCTGGGTTGGATCCTCAGCACCACATAAAGTAAATAAATAAAGTAAAGATATTGTAGCCAACTACAACTAAAAAATAAATAAAGAATTAAAAAAAAAACAGGAGCTTATTTTTAAAAAAATAAAATGGAATATAGTGAAGACATTAAAAATCATGAGAAATAGTGTGTGTGGAAAGAGATCATAGGTGTGTCACGTGAGAAAAAGCAATTTTCGGACCTAAATGTTTAACATAATTCCACTTTTATAAAATAAATATATAGATGAACATTTAGGAGTAGTGGTGGGGGAAGGGAGTGAGGTGAGGGGAGAGAAAGAGAGATTGAGAGGCAGGGGAGAGGAAGGGGAGTGAATTTCCACCAGAGCATTAAAAGCTAAAGTTATGAGGGGGTGAGAGGAGGGCATGGTGTTGGCCACGTTGGATGGTCAATGGCATTAGGGCTGACTCATTATTTTTACTAATTTTTAAAATACACCTTTAAACTTCAATTTTCCCTTTGGTTGACCTTAACCTTCTCACATAAAAGTGCACCCGGACTGGACTTTAGCTACAAGTGTTCCTGGGGCGTCACATTCCTCAATTCTTTGAGAACATTCTAACTTCAGTGCTGGGAGTCCCCTGTGAAGTCAGAGCAAGGCAAAGAGCACAGGATCTTCCTGGGTAATGTTTTCTTACAAAATACCCCTAAAATACTCCCTCTGAGGGAGCCCTTATTATCTCCTCTGGACAGATTTCCTTCACATTCATTTTTGTTCACCCATCCCACAACTCACATTTGATCTATTTCATCTCTTTTCTAATAGTCACATTAAAAAAAAAATCTTAACTCAAAATGACACCTGAGCATAACATGTGTAAAGATATCTTAGGTTTACAAGAACATAAAATGTCCCCAGTTCTCCCCCATCACCTCCACAGCTGCATGCCCTGAAGTGACCACTGTAAATTGTAGCACTTCATGTGCATTAAGTGGACTTGTTATGTGAGTATATTTCAAGTTTATGTTTTAAGTAAGTTTTTAAAAAGGATTTTCTCTTGGATATATGCCAATGAATTGTGTGAAGAGAGTGTCCTTACCAACGTGCTTATCGGATAGCCTATCAGTAAGGCCTCTTTTCAGCAACAAATGACTGGAACTAAATTGATTGGTTCACTCAACTGAAAAATCTGGCAGACATGGCTATCTATAAAGAGGGAAGCAATGTCAACAGATTTCACTCTGTCTCCTCCTACTCTGTGTCTCTATCTTGCCTTCTCTGTCTTCCTCTCTGCTTCCTTATATCTTCTCTCTTTTTATCTGTCCTCTTTGTCCCCATTCTGTTTCTCAGCTCTGATTTCTGTTGGATTCATTTTCAAGCTGGATTCTTCCACCAGGAAAGCGAATAGCTTAGGGAACATGTCCAAAACCATTCTCAACACATAAATGCGTAGGACAAGAAACCTAAATGCTGTTTCTCAGGGAAGAACTTTGGTTGGCTTTGCTTGAGTCACACCTGCCATTTTTAGCCAGTCACCATGGTGTTGGGATGACACATTCTGATTACTGGGCAGAGGTGAGGCAACATGACTTTCAGCTGTACAGAAGCACATGACTTGGAAGATTGACAGTTCCCACAAGAAAGAGGGCTGTTGGGCAGACAGGAAGAGCAGATGCCAGCTTCTGTTAGGTGAGTGAAGTTCAAGAGATATTTTTCTGGAGTCTCCACAAAAAAGACAGAGATGTGCCATCCCCAGGTTTGCTCTACATTAGACCAAATACCCCTCCATCTTTCCACTGGCCTCATGTGCTATGTTTTTCAGACTTAACCATTCTGATTCCCTCTCTTTGAACATGCTGCACTTTGTCCTATATTTAGAATCAAATGAAATTGCCTTTAAAAAATACTTTTCTTCATTGAGGATGCTGTTCTGTGTAAGCATTGCAAGATTTTCTTTGTGATATGTTCAACCGAATCATCACTCTCTGGGCAGTCCAGAAACTTGATGTGCTTTATCTGCAAAATCCTCCACCAGGTTCTTCAGTCACAGATTTTCTTTGAAAACAGGTTTACATATAAAATGTCTGATTCTGACTCCAAGGTTGCATATTTTATCCTGTGCTAGATGTAAGTGTGTCTACATTTCTTAATGTTCT